AGGAAGAGGAGGAGGAGGAGGAGGGAGGAGGAGGAGGAGGAGGAGGCGGAGGAAGAGGAGGCCGAGGACGCGGAGCGGAAGGGAGGGAGGAAGGGAGGCGGAGGGGAAGAGAGGAGGAGGGAGGAGGGAGCAGCCACGAGAGCCCAGGGCCTCACCAGCCTCCCATCTTCAGGATGCGCAGCACGCACAGCGCGTGCGCCAGCACCAGCAGGCCCACCAGCGGCGCGCAGAGCTCCCAGCCTGGATGCGGGCGGGAGCGGTGGCGGACTCCGACCGGGCAGCTGCTGCCACGCCTTCGAGGGCGCTTCGAGAGGTTGTCCAGGAGCTGCCTGAGAGCCGCCCAGGAGCTGCGCGCGAGCCTGCGAGGCGCTTCCCAGAGGCTGCCCAGGAGCTGCGCAGGAGCCACAGAAGCGCCGCCTGGGAGCTGCCTGGGACCTTCGCCCGGCAGGAGAGGGGCAGAGGGCTGGAGGCAGACGGCGGGGGGCAAGAGGCGGCAGGAGCAGGGCAGGAGTGTCGGGATCGGCGGCCGTCCAGGTGCGCTCCAGAACGCTCCGAGAGCGTTTGGGAACTCTCCAGAGCGAGGTGTCCTGGTCCTGGGCCCGCTGGACAGGGCCCGCTCCGAGGGCCTCGAAGCGGCAGGATCAGTCAGTATCGGATCGGGAAATCGAGTCGAACCAGAACGCGCGTCGGGTCAGGCTGCTTCGGCACGGAGTCGACATCGAGTCGGATCGGAAGGCGCCAGGATGCACAACAGCGCCATCCAAGCATCGGGCCGCATCGGATCGCCAGAATATCGAAATCGAATTGGATCGAGCCAGGAGGACTCGATATGAAATCGCATTGATCAAATTGAAATGGGCACTGTGGGGTGGGCGTGGCGGCGCTCACACGGGGTGGCGCAAGGGAGGCCTCCTGAGAAGGCAGGCGGGCGTCTCAGAAGCCATCCCCTGCTTCTTCAAGCCTCCCCAGAGAAGTCTGAGCGCTTTCAAGAAGCATCGCCACGCCTTCTTCGAAGGCTGCCCCCCTCGCTCGGAGGAAGCCCGATTGGGACAACGGCGGCTCTCCCGCCCGGCCTACACCCGCCCCCAAGACCGCCCCCCAGACCCCCTCCCGGGGTCCGTCCCGACTCACTTCTCGAGGCTGATCCCGACGTGGCAGCGCGAAGCCTCCAGGCCCCCAGGGGACGAAGCACGCCAGGGAGGGCCGCCGTGGTTTTCTCTGGCCCTCCTCCGAATCGCCCCGCCCCCGCCCCGCCCCCGCTCCAAAGCTGGCCCCCCCTCGGACCCCTCCTGGGGCCCGTCCTGGCCGGCTGGGCGTGACGCACCCGGCCTGAGCCACGAGGGCCTCCCCAGGAGGCCCGCGAGGGGGCGCAAGACGAACGACTGCCTCTGCGGACAGCGCCCAGGCCGACGACCACGCAGGACCCTGGGAGGGAACGGTCGCGAAGAGGCGGCGCTCAGCAGAATGCGGTTTCCTCCAGGATGCTCGGGTCTCAGACCCTCAGAGGGCCGACCAAATATCCCACGAGAGGGCGCCACGCCGATGCGGCCGCCAGAGATGAGCGGCACTACCACGCCGTGGACCGCACGACTGCAAGTACGTGATCTCGTCGTGACGACCTGTATGCTGGCCTCTGACATCACGTGGACCATGCAACATTTTAAACGAGCGGCGGCTTCCAGCTCGCCATCTCGTGACGTACTGGCCGCTGCCAGGCCACTGGCGGCGTTCCACCCTGACCGCCCGCGGCCGGGGTCGCCGCCGCGTCGGCGCGACTCGGTGCTGCCGAACGCAGCCGCAGGATCTGCCCGCGCGTGCGCGCGCGTGCACTTCCTGTAACCGGTCCGTGCGTCCGTGAGTGACCGCCGAGGACCCAGCCCAGAAGGTCTTTCGGCACGTCCGAGGGCGTGTTGCCCCAAGGTCGAATCGAAAAATCGGATCGACAATCCAAAAACGCGGAACGGGCAGGCGGATCGGAAGGCATCGAAATCAACGTCCGCCGCCCCGATTCGAGGCCTGCACAAGGAAATCCCACCTTTCCTCTGGGCGTCGGTGGTTCAGAGCGTTTCCTCTTCCACCCATCCTTCTTCCCCTTCTCGGAGGGGTTTACCGCTCCCCCTATCCCCTCCCCTGGACCTGGACGGGGGGGGTCGCGAGGCGTCATGGCTTCCAAAACGGCCTCGGCGAGGAAGCCAAAATCATTGATTCGACTAGGGTTTGGGCCCCATTTTGACCTCCTGGGGGGGGCTGTAATTTGCACCCCCCTCCTGTGATCGATCTCACCCAAGATGGCCCAAAGATGGCCCCCAAGGCTCCTAAGGGTGCCCCAAGAGGGCCCCAAGAGGTGGCCAGGCAGCCCCAACAAGAGGCCCCCAGGAGGCCCCCAGGATGCCCCCAAGAGGCTAGAAAAGATACCCAAGAGGCCCCCCAGAGGCACCCAAGACGCTCCAAGAAGCCTCGGCGATGAAAAATTCGCTGATTGTACTAAGGTTTTGGCCATATGTTGGCCTCCTGGGGGGGGGCACTGCTTCAGATGACTCCAAGAGCACCTGGGAGAGCCAAAGATGATCTCCAAGATGACTCAAGATATCCCAAGATGCCTCAAGATGGCGCCCACGATGCTCCAAGAGGCCCCAAGACCGCTCCAAGACTTCTCCAAGTAGCCAAAGAGCCCCCCCAGGAGGCCCCGAAGAGGCCAAAATCCTTCCAAATCCTTCGGAAAATCAATGTGTTTGGCTTTCTCGCCGAAGCCTCAAGATGGCTCCAAGATGGCCCAAGAGGGCTCCAAGAGCGTTCCCAAGGCTCCCAAGAGCGCTTCACGAGGGCCCCAAGAGGCGTCCTGGAGACACCAGAAGGCCCCAACAGGCGCCCAAGAGGCCTCCAAGAAGCTCCGAAGAGACCCCCAAGAGGCCCCAAGAAGCTCCCCGAGGCACCCAAGACGCTCTAAGAGGCGTCCGGGACCGCCAAGAGGCCCCCAAGACGCTCCAAGAGGCATCCACTGAGGGACCCTTCCTCTGTGTGCTGCCCGCTTCCCTGATCGAGGCAATTCCTCTGGGCATCGTTTCTGCATGGGTTGGTGGGGGTTCTTTTTGTTGCAACCGCAGGCGAGGGCGCCAGCGGCGACTCAGGTCCGAGCGGGCCACGCAAGAGCCGAATTGCCTAACGCCGACGGGCCGGCGACCTCAGCAGCGCCTCGGCGGGCGGGCCGGCGTGAGGGGGGGTGCAAGCTGCAGCTGCCAGGAACCACGGTCCAGGGGCGCGCACATGCAGAACTAGCCAACCAGGGTTGAGGCGCAACCAAAATGGCGCGGGGTCGTACCAGGATGTGGCCAGTGAGGCAACCAGTCAGTACACCGCGCCAAGGGCCATGGGTGCTTATACTGGCCCAACCTGGTGCATCGGGAGGCGCCACCAAAGTCGCACACCAGGTATCCGGAAGGGAGTACTGATCCTGCGAACGACCGTTCACGGGATGGCCCCAGAGACGGGCGAAGGCTGGTGGGGATTCGTGAAGCGTCAACAATTCAGACAGAAGTCGGATTTCGGGTTCGAGATCGAACCGAAATCAAAATCCTCGAAATCGACTCGACTCGAATCGACAGAGTCGAAACGGCTCCTCGGGGCCAGGCAGGGAAAAACTGTGCAACCACAGTTTCAAAAATCACGAGAAGCGCGCCCATGCACCTCACCGTGTTTGAACACCCTTTGGGCCCCGCATAGCTTTTCGGCTCGAGGGCCCAGTCGCCCAAACTGGAGCGTGAACGCGTGCGGAAGGGGGGCGAAACGGCAGCGGCGGCTACGGCCAGGGCCTCACCCAGGGGGAGGGAAGAGAGGAAGGACGCCGCCCTCCTGTTGGCACCTCTGTTGCGAAGTAGGGAGAAGGAGGAGGAGGAGGAGGAGGAGGAGGAAAAGGACGAGGATTTTTTTCCACCGCAGGCGCACACACCAAATCCACGCGTCAGGTCCGCACTAAAAATCTCAATGCAAAGGGGCCGCGCAGCCGACATGCAGGGAGGGGGGGAGAGGCAGCAGCAGAGGCAGGCAAAGAGAAGCGGCGGCGGGTACTCTGCTCCGAATGTACATGATCCCTTGCGGGCGCGCCCCCCCAGGCACACAGAACAAAAGGGAATCAACGCTCGAGCATCCGTCCCATGCCACACTCACTCCACGGCCGACCGAGGGCCCACCCAACACCGCAGCAAGCAAGAGCAGACAAAAGGCGCACGCCCCAAAAACGAGAACCCAACACAGAGAGGGAGGGAATACCTGATGGCAGGCGGCCACTGTGCCTCGAACATCGTCGGGAACCTGAGGGCGAGCGGGGAACACTCCCTCGCTCCCTCGCGCGGGGCGGCAGCCGGGGCGCCTCGAACTTCGTCGGGAACCTGAGGGCGGCGGCGGGGCGCAGAAGAGGAGAACGACCTCCTCCGCGCCAAACGCAACGGGTGTCTGGAGGCGCCACGGCTTGGCGTCGCGGGAAGGCCACCCTACCCTACCGATGAGCGAACGACCCACGGCCAAGCGAAACGGACCGCCCGCCCGTCGGGGAACCAGAAGTTCACGGACTCCAGGAGAGAAGCACGGGCAAGGCGGCAGAGAGAGGCGGGGGGGCGGCGCGACAAGAGAGGCACACTCTCCCGCGCACCGTCCAGTCTTCGCCTGCGAGCGGAGAGGCCACAGAGAGCACTGACAGGCTCTCACAACCCAGGCTACAACACGGGGCCCTGAATTAACCAGAAGAATCAATGCAGAAACGGCACAACAGAAAGTAAACCTCGGAAAACCAGCCAGCCAACCCGAGAGACCCACAAGGGTCCCATCACACTCTGACAGCATCATGCATGGACCTAAATCAGGAGGGGTCACAGGGGAAATAGGGAACAAAAAGAAAAAAGACACGGCAACTCAGGAGAGGGGAGGCACGGCAGGAGGAGCAGGAGAGGCAGGGGGAGGGGCGGCAGCAGCAGCAGGCGCCCTCAGAGCACGAAGGGCCTCGTTTAGCCTGGGGTGCCGACGGGACAACTGCCGATGCCTGGCTTTAATCAGGAAGTCCCCAGGCTGGACCGAACCAGTCCTGCGAGCATTGTGCGCTGCCAAAGGAGGAAAAGGACGAGGAGGAGGAGGAAGAGGAGGTGGAGAAGAGGGGGGAGGGGGAGGAGGAGGAGGAAGAGGAGGAGGAGGAGGAGGAGGAGTAGGAGGAGGAGGAGAAGAGGGAGGGGGAGGAGACGCATCAACGACGTTGCAATAAACCTTCCCTCCAAGTTCCCTCTTCATAGGTCCTTACAAGAATCCCACCTGCCCTCTGGGCGTAGGTGGTTTAACAGACGTTGTCTTCTCTCTCTCTGCCAAATCTCCTCCTTTCCCTGCTCGGGGGAATACTCTACCCCTCCCAAAGACGACCGCTGAACATGATCAGGCGGCTCAGGTGTTACCTATGTGTTGGGAAGGCGGGTGGGAGTGAGCTAGACGGTTTTCTATCTAAGACGGTGTTTTGATCACTGCTCCTTATTAATGAACACCCCCTCTCCCAGGCGACCGGGGGCCAACCAGGCACCATGCCGACACCATGCCGACACCATGCCGACCCGCCCCCCATCATCCCTGTCAAAAAACAATGCTAGCCGCACCCTGCCTCCACATGTAAAACATGCGCGGCCAACCCGACGCGGCCCCCCCCCAACCATCCCTGTCAAAAAACAATACACCATACACTTTGGGGCAAATTATTGAATCATTTTCGTGAGGCCCGCGAGCACTTTACATTGTTTTCCCCACATGCTTGGTGGGGTTATGGTTTTCTTCTCTGCCGCGCCGCGCCCGCGTCTCACACCCTCCTCCTCCTCCTCCTCCTCCTCCTCCTCCTCCCCCTCCTCTTCCTTCCTCCCCCAGCATACCGAGGAACACACAGCACAGCACAGCACACACATACACACACACACACACACACACACACATACACACGTACAAATTATCCCAGTGCGACCCTACCCAGGAGTTGGAGCCTCTAGGAAAGCAACATTAGTATGAGTAGGAAAGCAACATTAGTTGGAGCCTCTAGGAAAGCAACATTAGTAGCAGCAGCAATAGTGGATGCTGTGCTGCGCTATGCCATGCTATGTTATGCTATGTTATGCTATGCTGCGCAATGCTATGCTGGGCTAAACTATGCTATGCTATGCTATGCTATGCTGCGCTAGGCTGCGCAATGCTGCGTTATGCTATGCTATGCTATGCTAGGGAATGCTAGGCTGCGTTATGGTATACTAGGCTATGATATGCTATGATGTGCTGCGCTATGCTATGCTATGATGTGATATACTGCGCTATGTTATGATATACATGTTATGATGCGTTATGCTATGATATGATATGATATGATATGGTATGCTGCGCTATGATATAGTATGCTATGATGTGCTATGATATGATGCGCTATGATATGCTATGATATGCTATGCTATGCTGCGCTATGCTGTGTTATGCAATGTTATGCTGCGCTATGCTATGATGTGATATGATATGATATGATATGTTATGATATGATGCGCTGTGCTATGATAAGATATGATATGATATGTTAGGCTATGCTGCGTTATGTTATGCAACGGTATGCTATGCTATGCTATGCTACGCTATGCTATGATATACTGCGCTATGCTATGCTGCGCAATTCTATGTTATGCTATGCTATGCTACGGTATGCTATGCTATGCTATGCTATGCTATGGTATGCTAATGATGCGCTGCGCTAAGCTAAGCCAAGCTGGGCGAAGCTAAGCTAAGCTAGGCCAGGCTAAGCTAAGGTAAGCTAAGCTAAGCTCAGCTAAGCTAGGCTAGGATAGCTAAGCGAAGCTAAGCTCAGCTAAGTTAAGCTAGGCTAAGCTAAGATGGGATAAGCAACGCTAAGCTAAGGGGACGTAACTGGGGGAACCGCGGGGCGGGGACTGGGGGAACCGCCTGGGGCGTCTTACACTGCCCGGCCCCTTTTAAGCAAACAAAGCAAGAACCCTCTAGGCAGAGCCTAGGTATGGAACAAACACACAAGCACACACACACACACACACAGCACACAGCACACACAACACTGCACAGCACACACAGCACACACAGCACACACAGCGCACTCGTACACACATCCACACATACACACAAACACACAGACATACAAACACATAAGCACACACACACACACACACACAGCACACAGCACACACACACACACACACACACACACACACACACACACACACACACACACACACACACACACACACGCACGCACGCACAGCACAGCACAGCACAGCACAGCACAGCACAGCACAGCACAGCACAGCACAGCACAGCACAGCACAGCACAGCACAGCACAGCACACACAGTGGTGCGGTCTCTATGCGCGGCAGCGTCGCAAGGTCTCTCTGCGCTGCAAGCTCCCAGGGCGTGGCAGGCGTGGCATTTCCTCGACGCCACAGGGGGTGCGTTGGGGGTCGGGGCCCTCTGCGCTGCAGGCTCCCAGGGCGTGGCAGGTGTGGCATTTCCTCGACGCCACAGGGGGTGCGTTGGGGGTGGGGGGCCCTGTGCGCTGCAGGTTCCCAGGGCGTGGGCAGGCGTGGCATTCCCTCGACGCCACAGGGGGTGCGCTGGGGGTGGGGGCCCTATGCGCTGCAGGCTCGCATGGCGTGGCAGGCGTGGCATTTCCTCGACGCCACAGGGGGTGCGCTGGGTGTGGGGGCCCTCTGCGCTCCAGGCTTCCAGGGCGTGGCACGCGTGGCATTTCATCGGCGCAACAGGGGGTGCGCCCTATGCGCTGCAGGCTCCCAGGGCGTGGCAGGCGTGGCATTTCATCGACGCCGCAGGGGGTGCGCTGGGGGTGGGGGCCCTATGCGCTGCAGGCTCGCAGGGCGTGGCAGGCGTGGCATTTCCTCGACGCCACACGGGGTGCGCTGGGTGTGGGGGCCCTCTGCGCTCCAGGCTCCCAGGGCGTGGCAGGCGTGGCATTTCCTCGACGCCACAGGGGGTGCGCTGGGGGTGGGGGGCCTATGCGCTGCAGGCTCCCAGGGCGTGGCAGGCGCGGCATTTCCTCGACGCCACAGGAGGTGCGCCGGGGGTTGGGGGCCCTATGCGCTGCAGGCTCCCAGGGCGTGGCAGGCGTGGCTCGACGCCACAGGGGGTGCGCTGGGGGTGGGGGCCCTATGCGCTGCAGGCTCCCAGGGCGTGGCAGGCGTGGCATTTCCTCGACACGACGCCACAGGGGTGCGCTGGGGGTGGGGGGGCCCATGCGCTGCAGGCTCCCAGGGCGTGGCAGGCGTGGCATTTCCTCGCTCCACAAGGGGTGCGCGGGGGGTGGGGGCCCTATGCGCTGCAGGCTCGCAGGGCGTGGCAGGCGTGTCGACGCCACAGGGGGTGGGTGTGGGGGGCCCCATGCGCTGCAGGCTCCCAGGGCGTGGCAGGCGTGGCATTTCCTCGGCTCCACATGGGGCGCGCTGGGTGTGGGGGCCCTCTGCGCTCCAGGCTCCCAGGGCGTGGCATGCGTGGCATTTCCTCGACGCCACGGGGGTTGCGCTGGGTGTGGGGGCCCTATGCGCTGCAGGCTCCCAGAGCGTGGCAGGCGTGGCATTTCCTCGACGCCACAGGGGGCAGGCGTGGCATTTCCTCGACGCCACAGGGGGTGCGTTGGGGTTGGGGTCGCTATGCGCTGCAGGCTCCCAAGGCGTGGCAGGCGTGGCATGTCCTCGACGCCACAAGAGGTGCGCTGGGGGTGGGGCCCTATGCGCTGCAGGCCCGCAGGGCGTGGCAGGCGTGGCATTTCCTCGACGCCACAGGGGGTGCGCTGGGGGTGGGGGCCCTATGCGCTGCAGGCCCCCCGGAGCGTGGCAGGCGTGGCATTTCCTCGACGCCACAGGGGGTGCGCCGGGGGTGGGGGCCCTATGCGTTGCAAGCTCGCAGGGCATGGCAGGCGTTGCATTTCCACGACGCCACAGGGGGTGCGCTGGGGGTGGGGGCCCTATGCGCTGCAGGCTCGCAGGGCGTGGCAGGCGTGGCATTTCCTCGACGCCACAGGGGGTGCGCTGGGGGTGCGGGCCCTATGCGCTGCAGGCTCGCAGGGCGTGGCAGGCGTGGCATTTCCTCGACGCCACAGGGGGTGCGCCGGGGGCACTTATGTGCAAGGAGGGCGGGTGGGAGTGAGCTAGACGGCTTGCGGGCGGGTGTGTAACTTGACCCCTCCCCCTACCCCCTCCCCTGGGCCTGGGAGGGAGGGGGCGCGGGTAGTTAGAGCGCCCAAAATGGCCCAAGATGGCCCAAGATGGCTCCAAGAGGTCTCACAGAGCCCAAGATAGCCTCCAAGATGGCTCAAAATACCGGAAAACGTTTCAATATAGCCTCCGGCACACATCCAAGAAGCCTCAACACGGGCCAAAGACGGATTCAAACCCCCTCCGAGCCCTCCAAGGACCCCCCCCAAGAGCCAAAAATGCTCCAAAAATCGACGGGACATGAGTGCGCGTTGCCGTCTCGCCTTGCCGCTCCCGATGGAATTTTGAAACCTCAAGATGGCCCCAAGACGGCCCACGAGGGCCCCAAGAGCGCCCAAGAGCGCTCCAAGAGCACCACAGGAGGGCCTCCAGACAGCCTCCACGGTGGGGGGGTGGGGGCTGAATTTGCCACCCCCCTCCTTTTGAGCCACGGGGCCCAAGATGGCCACAACAAGCCCCCCTGACCACCCCAAAAGAGCCCCAAGAGGGCCCCAAGACCCCCCAAAAGAGCCCCAAGAGGGCCTCAAGACCTCCCCAAGTGGCTCCGCGAGGACCCCAAGAGAGACCCAGGACGGCTCCAAGAGACCTCCGAGAAAACCTTCCTAAGCAGCAGTTACAACGCATGCTTCTACACTTCCCCGATCAAGTCAACTCGTCTGGCGATATGTTTCTGAATGGGCTGGTGGGGGTACTTCTGGTACGCGGGCGCGCGAAGACGAGTCGAACACCGAGCAAGCTAGGGCGGGCCGAGACGAAGCAAACGGGGAAAACAGCGAAGCGAGCGGCGCCCGGCACAGGGCGGAGCAGGGCTCAACGCGGCTAAAATGGCGCGGAGGGCATCACGTAAAGCATCAGAATCACGTCAATCAAATCTGCGGTACCAGATAGCGCAGGGCGTGCCCATTGCGGTGCCGAATAGTGACGCAGGTCTGGTGTGGGAAAGCGACCACGCACATGGGAAAGTCAGTAACTCGAGCTCCCCAGGACGCACTTGCCGACAACGGTGTCCTTGAGGAACCGGCAATCACGAACTCCCAACAACCATGCGGCCGCCAAAACGGCGAAGGAAAACTGGCGCTAAATCAGCCGATCCGGCGTGTGAGTTTAAGAAAACTACAACCTGAGCTTCAGCTCTGCTGGGGGGGGGGGCCAGGGGGGCTCTGCCGGGGTAGAGGGGGGAGGGGGTGGGGTCATGGGGTCCACCCTTTCTTTCCCCCCCCCCCCCGGGAATCCCAAACCGCCCCAAGACGGGCCAAAAGGCCCAGGAAGCCACCAAGACGGTCCAGGAGGCGCCCGAAACGGCCCAAGAGCGCTCCTGGACGCCCAAGATGGCCTGAAGACGGCCCAAGAGGCCTCCAAGACGCCTCAAGGAGATCCCAAGAGGACCCCCAAGAGGGCCCCAAGAGGGTACAATCAGAAAGTTGCGAATAAGGTTTTGAAGCATTTTAACATTATCGCCTTTTCCGTCTTAGAAGCGCCGAAGACGGTCCAAGAGGCCCCCAAGATCACCCCAAGACAGCCCAAGAGGCCCCCAAGAGGAGCCAAGACGGTTCAGGAGGGCCCCAATATAGCCCTGGAGGCCCCCCAAGACGACCCCGAGAGGCCCCCAAGATGGCCTCAAGAGGGTGAATCCGAACGGACCCTTCTAGTCCTCCATCCCAAGATGACCCCAAGAGCCCCCAAGATGCCCCCGAGGCGCCCTCAAGGGGCCCCCAGAGGCCCCCAAGAGGTCCCCAAGAGGCCCCCAAGAGGACCCCGAGAGGCTCCCAAGAGGCCCCAAAGGCCCCCAAGAAGCCCCAAGAACCAAGAGGCCCCAAGAGGCGCTCACTCGCGTGCTGCCAGGCCAGGTGCACGGCCTGACTTGGTATTGCTCGGAAGCGAAAGCGATGAACGAAGGACCTTCCACCCGTCGCCGTCACCAGTCGTTGGTCGTCGGCCGTCGGCAGCCGTTCGCCGTCAGTCGTCGTCGTCGTCGTCGTCGTCGTCGTCGTCGTCGTCGTCGTCGTCGTCGTCGTCGTCGTCGTCGTCGTCGTCGTCGTCGTCGTCGTCGTCGTCGGTTCGTCGTCATTAACTCCTTCGTCGGTCGTCGTCGAAATTATCCCGCTCGTCGACCGTTGGTCGTCCGCTGTCGTCGTCATCGTCCATTTCAACAACAATAGCATCAGGAGCGCCCCGGATCGGCGGCACTGGCCGGAGGCCACTACAATAAACATACTCTCCAGGTAAACTTGTCGAACTCGAAGTCCCTGAACCCTTACGTGACCACGATGGAAACCACCGCCTCCGCAAGTTCACATAAAACATCCAGGACGGGCCGAATTCCGCATTTGTAGGGCAGCGTTTCCCACTTGCGCTCATGGCCCATTCGGCACTGCGCGCAGCTCAAGCAATTACGTGCGCCAGTACTTCAAAACTTACCCTGGCAATGCGCCCTGAAAGCAGCAAAAGGTGACATGAGAGACCTGTGGAACCTGCAGGACATGTGGGACCATCGAAGCCTGCAAGATCAGATGAAGCTGTGAAACCTGTGGGACCTGTTGGACATGCGGGACCTGCGGGACCTGTGGGACCTGCGGGACTTGCGGGGCTTAAGAGACCCGCGAACCCTGCGGGGCCTGTAGGACCTCTGAGACTTGCCGGACCTCTGAGACAAACGAGCCCTGCTGGAGCTGTGGGACATGTGGGACTTCGACTTGTGGGACCTGCGGGACCAAAGAGACCTGCGAGACCTGTGGGATTTGTGGGACCAGTGGGACATGCGGAACCTGTGGGGCCTGTGGGACATAAGAAACCTGTCCTGTGGGGCCTGTGGGACCTGTGGGACCTGTGCGGCCTGCAAGACTTGCGAGACCCGTGGGACTTGTGGGACTGGTGGGACCCGTCGGACCTGTGGGACCCGTGGGACCTGTGTGGCCCGTGAGAACCTGTGGGACCTGTGAGACCTGCTGGACCTGTGGGTCCAGAGGGACCTGTGGGACCCGCTGGGCCTGTGGGAAATGTAAGACATTGGGGGCGTGTAGGACATGTGTGTTCTGTGGGATCAGTGGGGCCTGTGGGATTTGCGCGGCTTGCGAGACTATTTGGAACTGTGGGACCTGTCGGGCATGTGGGTCCTGTGAGACCTGAGGGGCCTGCAGGATCAACGAGACCTGCGTGACCTGCGGGGCCTGTGGGACCTGTGGGCGTTGTGGGAGCGGTGGGACATGTGGAAACTGTGGGACCTCTAGGATTCATGGGACATGTGAGAACGATGGGGTTTGGACCAATCGGACGTGAGAGGCCTGCGAGACCTTCCAGACTTGCGAGGCCTGCGGCGCCTGCAAGATTTGTTGGACCTGCGGGACCTGTGGGATATGTGGGATACGCGGGACATGCGGGACTTGTGACACTTGCGACAGCTGTGGGCATTGTGAGAGTTGTGGGGCCCGTGGGACCCGTGGGACCCGTGGGACCTGTGGGAATTGTGGGACCAGTGGGACCTGCAAGACCTGAGAGACGTGCGAGACCTGTGGGACATGTGGGACCTGCGGGGACTGTAAGACCTGCGCGACCTGCGAGATCTGCGAGACCTGTGGGCCATGTGGGAACTGTTGGACCTGTGGGACCTGTCAGATCTTTGAATCTTGTGGACCTGCGACCGCCGAGGGCCAAACTAAGGCCCTGAATTGTGGGACCGCCAGTGGGACCGCCGGGCACCCAAATAAGGACCTTACTTGGGACTCGGGGAACTCCTTATAAAAATTCGTGGATCGGCAGATGTCTCGTGCTTTGGGACCATCGAGGCCCCCAGAGGGGGATTTATTAAGGAACCCGCAGGTTCCTTACGTCCACCATGTTTTCTTGGAGCGGGGGGACCCAAAATTCAAACTCCCCAGCGTGGCCGTCGGAGGCCCTCAACTATCCAACCCACTTGGAGACACGACGCAACTGTTCAGCCGAGACCTGAACGCGACTCTGATGCCGTCACCGCCGTACCTGCACTGCATCCGCTAATCCGCAAGCAAGCCCAAGAAACCGCCATGGAGGCGGGCAGAACCCCAGACGGCACCAGCTGACACCCAGGGGAGCTCACGACGGCCTACGATGGACCCGAAGTGTCCCACTGAGCCAAAAAAACTGCCCAAGAGTGCCCCAAAAGGCCCCCAAGACAACCCAACAGGACCCCGTGACAAGCCGAATGCGGCCTGAAAGTAACCCGTGAAAGACCCAAGAAAGGCAAGAACAACGGACGCAGAATGAGGCAGAAACATCAGGGGACTCACGACGGGGGGACGGAGGAATGGGGGGGGGACGCCAACGAAAACGAAGGAGTACGCCCCGAAACGACGCGGATCAGCGTGTCACATGTTGCGACCATTGCACGGGTATGGGCGACGATCTGTCGCATAGTACGGTTTCTTTGGCGGTGCTCTAAAACTCACCGCGCCGAAACATGCGCAATCGCAGAGCGCGGGACCTGCTGCGAACAAATCGGCATAACGCGAGCGCCTGGCTATCCACACGCAACCGCAGTACGTATGACTTGTCAACGAAGTCGCGCTCTCGACGAGACGACCGGGCTCTCAATTTTGAGATGCGAGCAGTGAGAGACCTCCAAAAAACAATGCGAAGAGAGGGAGACGTAGGGCAAAAGGAAGAGGCCGGGCGAGAGGCGAACCACAAATGATCACCGCCCAAACGAACGTAGCAAGCGCAAGTGCTGAACAAAACAGAAAGAACGGCATTCCTATGTTTGGGCGCGCCGCCTAGAAGGGAAGGGGGACGGGGGGGGGCGATAGCTCAGAAGAAACAAGTATGGCGGCATGCTAGACGCTACACGAGGCCTCTCCACGCGAAGGCGCTCTGCCCGCATGAACGAGCGCATCGTCGCCCAAAATCGGCGCAATCACGCCGCGCGAAGCATCGCTGCGCGGGGGCAATCCGCCCATGCAAGACATGCGCAGCAAACAAGCGAAACCAGCGTTACGCGCCGCCTTAACCATAGCGCTGCAATGCCGCAGCGACCACGCTTTTACTACTACGACCTCCCCTGATCAACGCGCGCATGGGCTGTGGCAAACGGGCCCCGCCGCGCGCGATCCGCACTCAGCCTCGCGAAAGCACATTGAAGGGAACCTCCATAGGAAAACCGCCGCAAGTGGCCAGGCTGCAACCTTTCGAAAGAGCGCTGCGTCAAACCAGCAACACTCGCCAACGACAGCCGCAACGCAGAAACAACCGACAAAAAACGTAATATAAATGACGTCCAGAACTTCCGGTTGCAGTGGTTTTCTTCGGCGGTCATTACGGCCTTCACAGACAAAGAGGACGAGCAGGCAACCCCGAAGGAGCAGCGTGAACGACACCGGGAGACGGGCGTGGTGCTGGTGCGGATATTTGTTGATCGCGACCGCGGCGAAAAGGTCGGGCGACGTCAGGGGGAGAAGCACAGAGGCGACGGCCTAAATTAGCGCACGGGACGAGGAGTGCGAAAGAGACAAGAGCTGGTGGGGATACTTTTGCGTCGCAGACGCAGGCGAGAGCGCCAGCGGCGAGTAAGGTCCGAGCGGGCCGCGCAAGAGCCTAATTGCTTAACGCCGACGGGCCGGCGACCTAAGCAGCACCTAAGCGGGCGGGCCGGCGTGAGGGGGGGTGCGGGCTGCAGCTGCCAGGAACCAGGCCCAGGAGCGCGCACATGCACGATTAACCAACCAGGGTTGGGGCGCAGCCAAAATGGCGCGGGGGTGGTACCAGGATGTTTGCAAGGAAGGCAACCGACAGTACACTGCATCAGCTGCCAGGAGACCATACTGGCCATAAAACTGGTGCATAGGGTGGCGCCACCAAAATCGCACACCGAGACTCCTGAAGGGAGTACTGATCCTGCATACAACCGTCCACGGGGTGCTCCCGGGAGGTCCAGCGAAGTAGCCAGGGAAACGATGGATGTAATCGACACCGTAACTCGCCTGAACCACCGGATCAGGAAAAGCCAAGCGCACTCACGAACAGGGACGCGAGACGTGCCACACTGGAAGGCAAGCGTCTGGGAACCCCAATCGTGTCAAAACACCATTCCTGGGACTTCAAAGTCAAAAATCAACGTGACTGTTGCGCCCAATCGTGCCAGAACAGCGCTCCTAGGACTTCAACATCACGAACCAGTGGGATTGTCGCATCTTGACAATCCAAAATCGCACTAGAACACCATCCATTGGATTTCAACCATACGAACCCTCGAAAGTGTTGCCAATTGTTGGAACGAGTGCGCTAAGGCGAGAGCCACATTCTATAAGGAACCACCCTCCATCCTGGACAATTTGAAACGGATGTGCGCGGCGCTAAGGCGAGAGCGACATTCTGAAAACGGCCCGCCATCCATCCTTGAAACTGCTGCAAACTGTCAGCACGAATGCGCGCGGCACTAAGGTGAGAGCCACAGCTTGAAAACAACCCGTCCTCTACCCTTGAAACTGGTCCAAATTCCAAAGTTCAGGATCATGAGTGGTGAGGAATTCTCCCGCGAAACGCCCGGCCCGCCATACCAACACGTCTGGAAAGCGGCAGGGAGGAGTCGCTTCTGAGAGGACAATGAAGGGATGAAGGAGGAGGGACGCCCCCCTCCAGAGAGGATGGAGGCAAGGATGGTGGAAGGGATGGAGAAAGGGATGGAGGCAGGGATGGAGGAAGGGATGGAGGAAGGGATGGAGGAAGGGATGGAGGAAGGGATGGAGGGAGGGATGGAGGGAGGGATGCCCTCGAGCCCATGCCCTCGAAGGGGCCGGGCCCTCGGGGCCTCGCTCGCCGCCCAGCACGCCAGCCGCGCACAGGCCCGCGGCCGGGCCAACCAGCGCCGGCAGCGCTGGCGGGCGGGAGTGGCAGGAGCGAGGAGGAGGAGGCCAAGGAGGGAGGAGGAAGGAGGGGGGAGGAACCGGGAGGAGGGGGAGGGGAGGCAGAAGGCGGAAGAGGAAGAAGGGCGCGGAGGACCCAGGGAGGGATCATTCGGAGCATCATTCTGAGCATCGGGAGCGGTCAGCACCGAATCGACAGATCGGGTCGGGTCGGAATGTGCGTCGGGCTGGGCTGCATCGCCACGGAGTCTAGATTCGAGTCGGACCTGCCGCGCAGGGATGCACAACATCGCCATACAAACACTGGGCTACACAGGACCATCGGAATATCGGAATCGAATCGGACTGGGCCAGCCAGAACCGATGTCGAATCGGATCGATCGGATCGAAAGGGACCGTAGGAGGAAAGGGGAAAGGAGGGGGAAGGAGGTTCGGTTCGTTTCCGCTCTCCACGAAGGTGCTCAGCAGGTGAGCAGCAGCCATTGGGGGAGGGCGCATTCCACGAATACGACAGCCCAATGGAGAGGAATGGCGAAGAGGAGGAAGAAGAGAAGGAGGACAGAGGGACTGGACAAGCCAGACCAGGCCAGGCAGAGAAGACAGACCAGACGACGAGAGAGACCAGAACTAGAACCGATCATAGAAAAAGCTAAACAGGCCAAACAGACCAGGCGGACCCCAAAGGACCAGAAGGCCGCCAGAGGATTCACACTGGTTATCACGCCCAAACGCGCTAGTTGGGCAAACATAACGACAAATTAGCCACGGCAAAACTTGCCATTGCTCGGGCGTCCATTCCCCGTGAAGTTTCCAGTTTCGTGCGTTTTTTCTGACGCGAGATGATCCAAGATGCTCCTCGATGGTCCTCGCCGAGAATAAATGCACACGTGCGAGCGATGCCAAAAGGAAGAGGAAGAACGGAACGGAACACTCAAACCAGCAGTCGCCAGGGCCCCTTCAGGGAGGAGCGGGAGATGCCATGGCCTCGCCGAAGCAGCCAGGAGCATCAGTAGCCCACTCAAGATGCTGGCGTCGCTGGGGTGCTGGAAAAGGCGTACATGACCAGGAGGGGAGGCAGAGCGGGAGGGAGGAGAACAAGGAGGAACATCATGCTGGCATTTGTGCTGCCCTGCGCTAAAAGGTCATTATTGGATGGGGCCCAGTCGGGGAGGGAGGGGGCACTACACACGGCCTGTCCGAACTACTGGATAGTGAGGCGCCGACATGAAGGTAGTGACAATACTGACTACTCATCTAAACGGCGGATGGAAAATTATGGACGATGAAGACCGCCAGAATAATGATCATGATGACGATGATAATGACAATGACGATTGCGATGGCGATGACGATGACGATGACGATGACAATGACGATGACGACGACGACGATAACAATGATGATGAGGAGAAGGCGGAGGAGGTGGATGATCAAGACGATGGTAAGTAAGGAGGTGGTGATGATAGGGTATGATGATGGTGATGATGATGATGATGATGATGATGATGATGGTGATGGTGATGGTGATGGTGATGGTGATGGTGATGATGATGATGATGATGATGATGACGATGATGACGATGATGATGATGACGATGACGAGGACGATGACGATGACGATGACGATGACGATGACGATGACGATGACGACGACGATGACGATGACGATGACGATGACGACGACGATGACGATGACGACGACGATGACGATGACGATGACGATGATGCTGATGATGATGATGAGGAGAATGAGGATGAGGATGAGGATGAGGATGAGGGTGAGGATGAGGCTGAGAATGGTGATGGTGATGGTGATGATGATGGTGGTGATGATGATGATGATGATGATGATGAGGAGGAGGAGGAGGACGAATATGCTTCAAGCTGTCCCGACAGTTCGGGCTATGCCGCATATGCCCGCGGGCGAGCGCGTACGCGCGCTCACGCTCTGCGCCAATCAAAAACAACAAGTTCGGGTTGAAGCCCGCCACCCTCCGCGTGGTAGGGGTAGTAAGGGATTGTGAGATGTTTGGATATCCCCCTCCTCGCTTCCCCCTCCCAGGGAGTCCAAAATCCGATTTCAGCAGCGAGGACCCGCCACACACCGCCGGGAACTCGTCGGCGCATCTCTGGAGCTTAGCTTACGCACCCTCCGAATCCACTCCAGCGCGTCCAAGATGCCCAATATGCCTTCCAGAACTGCCCCGGAAGAGGTCCAACACGCCCACGTCCAGAAGGGCACACGAGCGCGACTGCAGAGCCGGCGGGCCGCGCCGGGCATTGGGCGCACTGGAGCGGGTGGAAAAGGCAGAGAACGGCCGCGGAGGCGAAGAGGTGAGGCAGGCCTGGCCGAAGAGCGCCAACGGGTGCCGGGCACGCGCAGGCAGCCTCAGGCACCCACCGAAACGGATGTAAAGTTGAGTAAAAGGATGGAGCACATATAAATATATATACATATATACATATATACATATACATATATATATACATGCATCTATATACATATATATATATATTACGTCTATATATATATATACACTTTTTGGCGTCGCGTCCCCGCGCGCAGCGACAGAGCGTAGAAAGGTCAAAGGAGCGGCCGCGGACGCGCGTCCAGAGGCCGAGCCCTCAAACCTCTTGGAACAAGCAGCGCCAGCAGCCGGCCATCAGTCATCCGGGCGTGGATGCCGGGGGGGTCAGATGCGGGATGGGGGCGGACGAACGGAACCGACCAGGCAGGAAAACGATGTGGCCGGAAGGCGAGGAAAGGACGCAGGCAGAGACCGAAACTACAGGGTGCCATGGCCAGACGACTGGCAGAAAGGCACGTCAAGGACCAAGAGGCCGAAGGCCACTACTGGCGGCGGGGACACCGCAAAAGGCCGCACCGATGAGGTTGTAGCGCCAGCGAACCCGCCAGGGCACCGAAAACGAAAGCGGCGAACGGGAGGACAGGCCAGAGAGAAGCGACGGGGACCCGCGGGTGGACCCTGGACGGGGCACTCGCCAGGCGTGGCTGACTGCGGAAAGGGGGCGGGAAAGGGGTACGGGACCGGGGCCCAGGAGGGCACTAGGAGCGCACCAGCCCCTAACTGAGGCACGCGTGGGGCGCAGCGCCCCGAGCACCGTGGCCAGCCCGTTCACCAACACCTCAATGCACGAGTGGGACCTGCGGGGGGGCCAGGCCGCACAGGGCTGGGACCGCAGATGCCCTCCAAAGGGGGGCAGACAGGACCATGAGGATGGGGGGGCACAGGCGTCGGAGGAGAGAGGCAGGTCACATGCACCCAGACTCGTGCAGCACGACCAGCCCCGCAGAATTGAAGGCGCCGCCGTGGGAGCTGCTCTGCAGGCACCCGAGAGGCAGGGCGCTTCCTGCGGGCTGCGTCGCCATCGCTGGGAGGATCACGGGGGGCAAGGGCAGCGTCAGCGGGAAGCCCCTCCGCATGGGCCGAAGCCGCGAGGAATTCCATGCGCTGTTCAAGCTCCGTGAGCGAGTAAAGGGAGGGCGAAGGCAGAGCGGTTGCGGGGATGCGCGGACCGTGCCTGGGACGGGAGAGCGCCCAGCCTCGAGCCCACCCCAGCCACGCAATCTAAAAGGCTGCTGCCCTGGACGAGCATCCACGCGGGCGCAAGGGGGTCGCCAGCGAGGGAGAGAAGTGCGACGTGGGGGACAGCCCCGTGGATGTCACGCATTAGGAATCGCCACATGCGACGAAACGGGCGAACAGTGCCGCGCGAGTTGCGACCCCAGGGGGGGCCGAACCCTGACCATCGCGTAAACTAGCCTGCGGAGGGCCTATTCAGGCACGTCGCGGGGATTGGGCGGTGCCAAACAGGGGTCTGGGGGGCCAGTGGGTGGAGCACCCGGCGAGGCAAGAGGGTTCCGCACCCAGGATGCGGGAAGGCGGTGGGCATTGAGCGGGGGACACCCCAGGTCGATCCACGCCTCTACGATGCAGTGCCGGGCCACGGTCAAGGGGGCGTCCTCCGTGGAAGGACCGAGGTTGGGGCACGCTGCAGCTGCAACCGGCAGCATAACGCGGAGCGCGGTGGCAGCGAGCACGACGAAGGCACCTTGGAGGTCGAGCAGCTCGAGGATGCGACATTCGCGCGGGCGCCACTGGGGTGCAGGAGGAAGCACAGGGAGCCCTGGAGGCGCAGAGAGAGATGGCCCGGGAGAGCCAGGATCAGCGGTGAGCGAGGAGCGAGGGCCGGGGGGGGGGCACCAGTGGGCGCACCGTGGGCGGCCGCCTCGGCGCCGAGGCCAGGCCCGTCCTGGGGCGGCGCCGCAGCGGCAGGTGGCTCAGGGTCGCTGGACCTGGAGCCAAGGCCCGCATGCAGGGAAGGCGGGCCGCGCCGCCTCGCGGGCGCGGCGGGGGGGGCGCGCGGGAGGACGAGCTGTCGCGGCCGCCTGCGCGCTCGGAAGGAGAGGACGAAGGCGCACAAGACAGGGCAGGAGCAACCGGAGGGGGGGGGGGGCAGGAGCAGGAACGAGGCCCAGCTGGGGCCGCGGGCCTGCGGGGACTGCGACGACACAGGCGTCCTCGAGAGCAAGGCAGACCTGGCAGGCGCTAGGGTCGCCAAGGGGAGCGTATGGCAGCAAGGGGGGCAGGCGGTCGAGAGAGAAACGCGCAGGACTCGGTCGTCAGAGGCCCCCTGGCGCGAGGGGTCGTCGAGGGAGTCCTCGCCAAGGGCGTTCATTACAAGGCGGACAATGGCCTTAAGGCAGCCCTCCATCGCGGTACGCTGGTCGGCCAGGTCGTCGATCGAGACCGTGGAGTGGGCGAGCGCGGCATCGCGGTAGGGTCTGCCGCGCCCACAGCAAAGCGCCGCGAGGCGCAGTAATGTCTCAGCGCAGTCGCCAGCGTTGCTAAAGTGTCTCCCACGGGGAGGGCGAAGTCGCCCAGCTCCCGCACCGCAGCCATAGCCAGGAGGCAACACGCGTGCTCCGCAGCTCGGCTGGAAAGGGGGGGGGGGGCGCGGCGGTGCCTAGTGGGGAACGGAGGCGACA